TGCGCGGTGCGGGACCCTCCAGCACGGATAGAGGAGCCCTGCGCGGTGCGGGAGCCTCCAGCCCTGCGCGGTACGGGAGCCTTGCGTCCTGTCTGCACTTCCAGTCTGGATAGTGGAGCCCTGCGCACTTCCAGCCCAGACAGAGGAGCCCTGTGCGGTGTGGGTGCCTCCAGCCTGGACAGAGGAGCTGTGCGCGGCGGCCGGCTGCTCGTGGCGAGCCCGGCTCTGCCTCGCCCTGCACTCTGAGGGAGCAGCATTCGCGCACCCCACGGCTGCTCCTCGTCTGCTGCTGTCCTGACACACAACATGTGGCTGTGACCAGGGGACACTCAGGGTTAAAGAACTCGAGTTTCAGGTGTTTCAAAGCAGGGATTGCAGAATACTGAGCACGTCCACCTGAGTTCAGGATCTCTGTGCACCAAATACAAACTGAAGCCTGAAACGCTCAGGATAGCAGCCAGCACGAGGGCTCGCCCATCTCTGCGCAGCCGGGTGCCGAGACGCGACGCACGCGCAGCTTCTGCCCAGTGCCCCTGGGGGACACGGCCGCTCGCTAGCGCAGCGGCCACCGCACCGCGCGGCCGAGGAGCAGGTGGCACCGGCTCTGCTGACACCCGTCCCGTGGGGCTGGGAGCCGGCACGTGGAAAGGCAAAGCCAGGCTTTACGGAGACTCCTCCAGAGAAGCTTTGCTCAGCGCTCTGCATGCGGCGCTGCCGGAAAAACAACACGGCAAGGCCAAGGCCAAGGCCCAGCAGTGCCGCGCTGGCCGGCCTCCCCGCCACGGGGGGACCCTCGTGGGCTCCCCAGTGCCCCTGTCTAATCGGACAGGTCACACAGATGATGGCTCCAGGCCCAGGGCTCCCCTTCCCTGGCATGAAGCGCACGCACTGACTTCTGGAATTCTGTTTTTCTGCACCTTGCTGATCCACAGGGAAACAGAATTCGACAGAATTTCCAGTGCTACAAACAAGAAAGGGTGTTAGTACTAGGTGATGGTTGCTACCTCCAAACTAACCACACCAAAACCAATAACCACCACCACCAAAGATTATTAAAACAGTAATCCACAGGAGTCACTGATCATTCAAAATCTACTCTATTTTGCTTTTTATCTAAGGGTTTTAGGCCAAGTAGCTCCTTTTCTTACACTAGAACATCTCGGTTTAGGCACTGAAATACACAGCTCAATTTTCAACAGTGCTGGCAGTCCGTATTCTAAGTGAGGAATATAAACTGAGAATTTGTGATAAGTAAAATGTTTAATAACAGAAGAAGAGGGAAGCATCTTTCTAAAGGCAGTTTGAAGACAGCTTATTTAGATACAAAAATAAAATTCCTTATACCTTGTAAATTTATGACAAAACCATTTTTAAGGAAACATTCATCAAGTGTTATAGCAACTACAGAAGTGCCGAAGCTGTTCACTCACCTTTAGTTTTTAACAGGGCTCATTTTCTTTATGAGCAGCATAGAAAATGTAATATGAGAAAGAAAACAGATGATATGACTTACAAAACTAAAAATAAATTATTACATTGATTAATAAAGAAGTAGCCAGCAATCTAATCCGGCTCCTGGCATATCTTTTCAAGCTTGGCTATATCAGATAAGGCCACTATTTACTAACTGCATGGAAAACTGCCAGATACTGCCTGTTCCCTGGCTGTGTAAAACAGAATTCCGTATGCCTGAAACATAGAGAGCTGTATGGACCTTAGAGCACAAGGGCTAAGTGCAAGAATTCCACATATCAGGCTATAAGCTGGAGTGAATGTGTAAAAAATGTGATAGTTGGAGATCTAAAACCATCTGAAGTTTAATATAAGCCTTTTACCTATACACGATTCGGGTAAGGCGGGAAGAGGCCCGTGAGTACATACTAAGGGAGGAAGAAGGGCAAAATGCAATATAATAAATAATAAGAAATAAGAAGATACTTTTTAACTATTAGCAGAAAGGTGTCTGAAGCCAACAAAAAAACTAATAAGCCATGATCCTTATATAGATGAAAGAAACAACATATATACACAAAAGAAGCCTGAAACACACTATTCCAAACGTTCAGAGAAGCAGATTCCTCCAACCCTCCACTGATCTCGGAAGGAAGGCTCCGAGGCGGGTGCAGGGTCTGGTGGGAAATGGCCCCGCCGCCAGGCACGGACAGCAGCAGTCCTGGAAGACTGCTAAACTGGGAGATCAGATAGGGCTGATCATAAAGCTGACAACCCTGTAATTAGCTATAAAAATGTGAGCAGAAAGATACGACAGATAAAGTTCTGCGCTCTCCGGAAGGAGCTTCCTTCGCTTTGGCTGTTAACTGCTTGAAAAAAAATACCACTTTACTCTTTTCCTGCTTCTGGCTGTCTTTACTGTGAACATTTTATCACCTCCGATACAACACAGAATATATATTCCTGCCATAAATTAAACACCCATAAACACTGTAATATCATTCAAAAACCCGACATTCCTGTCATCTGACATTATTAAATGACAAAAATCTCCAGTGGGATAATGAAGAGACAACTCCCGCCATTGACTGTAGTTAACAGTCATTTGCCCCATACGACGGTGGCGATGGCACCTGGCAGCCCC